TGAGCACAAAGAACCACGGAGAGGCGACGCTTCACTAGAGAGGAAGCGGTCATTGGTTCAGCTACCAAAGGCTTGGTCAATAATTGCCCAGCAGCCTTAACCTCCCCCCCCCATGTCCCCCACGTTGGATAAAGGTCATCAGAAAAAGTCGTGATGGTCCTCAGACGAGAACGGGCGTTTGCAAACGACTTGTAGACGCACACACTCCAAGTGCATGCAATTATTTTCAGCCCAGACAAATGCTGGCTTTATTCCTGTGACTCAGAAGCCTGCTGAAGCGAGCTGTGGCAATCTTCCTCCCTCCTACGACTGCAAAGATGACAGAGACAAGAACCAGCCTGGAAGCGACCAGTTCTTCTCTGTGCTTTTGTAACATCCCGGGGAGGGGGGAGGAGTGGAGACAGAGGGAGCTGGCAGCCATTCTGCAAACGTTTAAGGAGGACTTGCTAGGTGTCGGGCACCTGGACGTGAAGATGCTGCAGGAAGAGCATCCATGGGATGGGTGTGCAGCATGGACAAGCATGGTTATCATGAGGCTTAGGGGAGGCACTGCATTGAGCAGAAGGCCTTGTGGAGGAGGAGACATAGGATCTGGGCCTTGAAGGTTAAATAGGAGTTCAGCAGTCAGCAGACAGGGATGAATCCTCTTGGGTATTGTGGATTTACAAGAGAGAGAGAGAGAGAGAGAGAGAGAGAGAGAGAGAGAGAGTTTTCTCTCGAATGACTATGTTGACTCAGAGCCACTGAGGTCAGTTTCCTTTGTGGCTTTAGACAATGTTGGGAAGAACTCATCTTGCCTCACCGTTAGCCAGGGAGAGTACAGTACCATCAGCTACTGTGACCCCCCTGGGAAAATGGATCAGTTTCTGTGGTTTGTAAGAGTAAGTGTTTAGTTCGGAGGAGAATGTGGAGGGGAGCAGAGCAGCCAGGAAACAAGTCCAGGCAAGAGCGAGCAGGACCGGACTCCTGTAGACCACAAGGGATCGATCTTCTGCTGCAGACTCCCAAACTCCCAGCCGTTTCAACTTAAAGCTTGTTCAATACTTTAAAGCCAATTTAAAACCAAGTTTGAGTTTGCCGTTAAGAAATTGCATTAATCAAAAAATGCATTAAGTTTTGGGGCAGGCAGTTTAACAGATAGCAAAAGCTCGTTGGGCCCCAGGAGAAATGGGCTCCCCTTTCAGAGAATGCAATATCAAGAAACAGAAAGCAATCAGCTATGAAAGGAAGAACACAGAGAGGTGTTAATGGCGCACAGAAAAAATGCTTTCAGTGAACTGAACTGGAGGGTGAATGTGAAGAGGCCCAGTGAGGGCGTTGGTGAGTATTGATGGCATCTGGACACAAGACACCTTTGAAGACCAGCTTCAAGGGGGGCAGGGCTGCAGTTAGGCCCTGATTCTTCAGTGTGGAGAGTGTCGTCCTTTCCAGGACTGCAGGCCAGTGAAGCCATCGAGGCTACCCTCCTACTGAATGTGGGCAATGGGAAACAAGTCAGCTCTGTTGAAAATAGACACCTCTTCACTCTGTGGCCGAAGGGGACTGGCCATTGTGGTTTGCTTGTCTGGTTCATCCTCCATGGCCAAGAGTAACTATGGAGGTTTGATGAGTTGCCCATCAAGAATGTACAGGCTAGTCTGTCTTGCATTTCCCTCTTCTTCTCCGGGAGGGTGGCTCTCATGGACTCTGTCCTTATGATCCCAACAACTTTCAGCTGTGGGTGGCCACGGAGAACACAAGAATGAGAAGGGGGAAGAGAGAAACTGAGAGGTCCCATCATGTTCCCTCTTTGCTTTAGGCCCAATGTTGGGGTCTCCATGACTATGGATGTCCAAGGCCCCTTATTCATCCATGGCTCGAGAACAGTTTATGGAGTACCTGCCTCTGTCCTAGGGTGGTTGTGGCCCCACCAATGCTATGTTGATGTTGGTTCTGGTGACCTATTCCTCCACCACAGGCCCCTTCCATCTGATTGGTCTTCTTTTGGGACTGAATTCAAGACTTAGTGAAAGGTGATAGCAGAGATTCCAAGTTCTATTTCTGGCAGCAGTGGATGTCTTAGTCGCTGTCCTGTTGCTGTCGAGGGACACAGTGGCCGAGACAACTCTTACAAAAGAAAGCAGTTATCTGGGGCTGGCTTACAGTTTCAGCGGCTTAGCCCATTATCATTATGGTGGGGACTGTGGACGCAGACAGACAGCAGCTGAGAGTTTTACACCCGGGTCCAAAGGCAACAAGGAGAGAGACAGAGACACTAGGCCTAGCATGGGTGTTTGAAATCTCAAAGCCCACCCTGGGGACACACCTCCTTCAACAAGGACACACCCCCTAACCCTTCTCAAACAGCTAAGCATGCAAATATACGAGCGTATGGGCATCCTTTTCATTTAAATAAGCACGGTGGACAACAGACATGTTTTTCTGAAGTTGTTGGGTAGTTTGCATTGGTTTCAAACAGGAGGACTAGGAGGGTGATCAGGGCTAGACATAGGAAGCATGTTTAGAGGCAGGGAGCTCTAGAAAAAGGCTCTAGAGTCAAGGCTGACAGGCGTTAGTCATGACTCATTGAAAGCTTTATGCCAACTGTACCACCTTTCAGTATCTAGTGATTCACAGATCTGTTACCAAAGAGGGATCTTGCCCCTTATTGACAGGGCTTGGAATAACGCCTTTTCTGTCACACGCATTTAGTATATATTTGCTGAATGAAATAATACCTTTTCGTTATGATGCTACCAGCGCTCAACATTCATCTCTCCAATGTGTATGCACCTATTCTGTATTGGGCTTGGGGATATAGGAATGGATACAGGAGAACAGCGGGAGAGATGCTTGTACCTTTGCCCGCTAGTGCTCTCTTCTGCAATGGTCTTTAGGACCACCGTCAAGAGTCCAGGGCTTCCTCTTGACAAGCTCAGAACCACTCTCCATGACTTCCAGGAAAGTGTTATACAAAGTTACAGATTTGCTGGGCGTTGGCCAGCAGGTATGTTAATGGAACTGTTGATTTCCCTTTAGATCTCTCCCATGGCTCTCAACCCTCTAAAGGGAAGCATTCATTCACCCTTTGCCAGCTAGCCTAGCAGGCTTCTTGACCCATACAGATGTTCAATTTAATACGCACTGATATTATAATGGGTACAGTTCCCTGGGTACTGGTCATATAAGCTTAAGGTCATCTTTAATGCTCTTTTCTCCATTTTTATGGCTTAGATATTAAGGTTATGACCATGGTTGGTTGCTCCCTCTTGAAGGATGAATGGGATTATAGGAAAGTCAGGGGCCTGGGCAGCGTAGGGTAAGTAAGGTTGTTCCTCCTCTTCAAATGGAGTCTCCCATCTGGAAGCTTTGTTTGATGTTGGCGGTACTGATGGAGGTAAATTGCTCGATTATCCCCATTTCCCAGAGCGTCTTGCTTGATCATCCTCTGCTACAAAGATCTCAAGACAGGGGTCCCAGGGCTTATTATTCCTGCCTTCAGTACCCAGTGAGTTTCAACTTGAGCGCCCCTGAGCTGACATAAAGTAACAGAAGGCACAGTTGCCTCCTTGGCTATAGAAAGGGCAGCTCACCCGGTGTCTCCTGATATGCTGGTGGTCAACAATGGGGGATTGGATGAGAAGACCCGAGGGCACTAATTATAGTTATTTAGTTATGCTAATATTGGGTAAACACAGCTGCGCAATACTTACAGGGATACACCTCTCTTTGCACTGATCTGAGGTCATCCAGATCTTTAACGGTTTCGACTATGAAATGTTATGAGGTTTCCACATCTATTTATCAGGTTCCTATCAATGAAGTAGCGTGTTTATCTGCATAGATTTGGTGTTTAAATCCTTGCCAACAACCATATATAGAGAAAACTAATGAGTAAATCTATCAACTGTGCTGAAGCTCTTAACTTCTCTCTCTTAAGGTTTGATTGGTCATAACTAATAAATAAAAGAAAGCACATTTGCATCTCCCCGGGCCGTGTACAGCTCATTAGTGAATGGGGTTCAGGAAATGTGATCTTTACTCGGTCAGGATGAAGACACAGTTGAGAAAAATATCCGTGAGACTGATGAAACCGTGCAGCTGTTTCCTGGCCTGTTACAGCACTTCGATGCAGACGGCCTCTGATTACCATGCTCTGCTCTGCTCCTTCGAGACAGTGCAAAAGCAACGTATGCTCAGTAGAAACTGTGCGTGGGCTCTGGACCTTGGCCTCTTCCCTGAGTCGCTACATGGTTTCCTCCTCTGTGGTGATGCTGGGTAGTGGTAGCAATTTCTACTTGTCCCTGTGATCACCAGACAGGGCTAGCAGTAAAGACCCTCCTGTGTGCTGTGTGACTGAGCTAGGACATTCTGCAGGTCAGAGTCTTTAAAAGTGGTTTTGACTTGGTGGGTTTATCATAAGGCAAGGGACATTTGTGCATGCCGCACACAGAGGTAATTTTCAGGTGTGTCCAACTTTTTGAAGTTGTGACAGATGTCATTTAAACACTGACACGCTTTGAGAACTGCTTAGTTGAGTCATTCCCCCAAACTATAAAAAAAGTAAAAACAAACAAACAAACAAAAAACCAAAAACCCCTCTTAATGGTCTAAGTGAGTTTATGATTCAGCACTGAGCTGCATTCATAGTTGTGTTGTGTGTGCAGCCGTGGGCCACAGGTTGGATAGAGTTACAACAAAGACATTAAATAAAACGGAAGCAGGGGCGTAGTGACTTTTCTGGCTTAATACTATTAAGTTGTCTTATCCCGGTCTCCCCTGATGTGCCTTCTCCCTATTCCATGCTCCCCAGGGAGGAAAACTAGCAGGGATCACGGATATATCCCGAATGGATGGCCACTGGGAAGGCTATTCAGTGCTCTGTGAGTGAAGGTTAATCCTGGGGAAGCCAGAGGCCCCGGCCCAAGGCTGTCTGTGCTTAGACCTTCACAGCGGAACTAACTTCTGCTGCCTACCAGAACACCAGGCCTTGCTTTGCAGGATGTGGAAATCACTCTTACCTGAGAGGTGGCCCCCGAGGCTTCAAACAGCGAGTCACATTTACCTTCGTGGTAAGCTTCCTTACAGTCCCTGCAGAAGACGAACTGCAAGAGAACACCACACGTCAGGAACATTCGACTGTATTCTGCATTTTATCTCTCTGGCTTGAGTTACGACTTCTATGGCAAAATACTGTTTGCAAAGCAGAATCAACTTATATTTTGATGGAGCTGCCTACTGTTCTGTTAGTGTTCTGTGCACATCACCGGGGTAACAAACATGAATCCTGCTGTCCCCTGCCCGCTGGAGGAGGCAGTGATGGAGGGGACTTGGGAAGAGGCGCTCCTGGCGCCAGGACAACGACTTTGTTTGTTCCAAGTTTGTTTTCCAAACATGATAGATTTACGTGGTCAGTGGACTTAGTTTTGTACTGAAAGCCTGTTATAAAAAGAAGGGCTGGCTGTTTAGGGTTGGCTTGTGTCCCTTTGTGTGTCCCCTTCATTCTCCTAGACTCAGAAGGGGAAGTTTTATCTCCCAGTATCTTAGAAAGAGGCTCCATCTGGACATGGAGTCTCTAACATGTGAGTGGGGTAAAAGGAGCCATCAGGATGGCTTTAACCCGTCAGTGTCTTTGTGTCCTATATGAAGAGATCCAAACATGAACACATGGGCTGAGGAACGAGCATGTGAGGACACAATAAGAAGAACCATTTGCCTGCCAAGGAGAGAGCCCCAGAAGCAACCACAAGAAGAACAGATTTCTGTTGTTTACAGCTTCCAGCCGCTATAGTTGGCTTCAGCCGTCTTAGGAAACAAACGTGGGAAACAAATATAGGTCTTTTGTTGTTGGTGACGCTGGGGATGAAACCAGGGCCTTAGGTAAGCAAGCAAGCACGTTACCATAGAGCCACATCCCAGTCCTTGGACCAGGTCTTTTCACTGAGTGATGTTCCTGTTAGCACTCAGTGACCACGGGACAAAGACACCCAAGGACTCTGCTGCCCTTACCCTTCACGTTACAAAGAGGAAGCTGGAACAGAAGTGCTAGCTGACCCAGTGCCAAGGCTCTGCGTTGGTCCTGTTACTGCCCTGAGCAGCCGGGCCCTCCAGAAGGCACATCATGTTTCCCCCTTGCTGCCATGTCCGAGGCTGCTGCAGTGGCTGAGACTGACTCCACGCTGTGTTTTACTGAGTCGTCATCCCACCCAACACCTGGGACTAGACAAAAGCCACCAAATGCCTAGAATTCTCAGGAGACTTCCAGAGGCTTGGGAGCTCTCAAGCTCACGAGCCAGGAAATCAGCCAGGCATTTGTCATGGCTTTGATTAAGGTAAGGCGAACCTGAACCGAAAAGCTAGAGCAACACAGACGGTACCGATAACTCGACTTGGTTTAAGAGAAGAGCATCAACTGTTTCTCCTGGCCTCATGAGAACCCCAGCCCAACATGCTCTGCCCCCATAGGACCTTCTCCATGCAGCAAGAATCCTCAGCTGTGGTTTGAATATCCTTCAACACAAGAGGTTTGGGACTAGATTTAATTTAAAATTGGCATTACTTTTCAGATTTCAGAATGGTTGCATATATATACACATCCATAACCACACACATTAACATGTATACACATATGCATATACACACATATCGATATATAATCACATATTACATATATGCACACGCATATACGTATATGCGTGTGGATAGTGAAATATTTGGGTGATTGAACACAAATTGATGCATAAAATTTATTTAATATACTCCTTAACCACACAGCCAGAAGGAAATTACAAACAACATTTTTAGTATGTCTGTTTCTTTTTAATTTTTAAATTTTGTGTGTTTGGGTATTTTGCTTGCATGTGTATCTGTGTACTACATATGTGCCTGGTGCCTGTGGAAGCCAGAAGAGGGTGTCAGATCTCCTGGTGCAGGCGTTTGTGAACTGCCATGTGAGTGCTGGAAACGGAATTCAGGTCCTCCGGAAGAGCAGCCAGTGCTCTTAGCTGTTGAGCCATCTCTCTAGCCCCATGTCTGTGTTTTGACTGTGTCCCATCACATGGGGTCAGGTGCAGGACTTTCTTCTGGTGGCATGATAGTGCGCAAAGGTTCAAATGCGAAGATGCTAGATTTGGGATCCAGGATGTTCCTGTCGTACTTCTCATAGAAGACTGACTGACTCCCAGAGTGACGGGATGCTAGCTTCACCACAAGCTTACGTTGGTGGGAAAGGGCATGCATCTGTCCCCACACAGACCGCCAGGCTCTGCCCCCTGATGATTTATTTGTCACCCTGGATGCAGTGAGGTAGTGTTGCCTCCTATGTTTCCCTTTCTTTTTAGCGCGAGGGCAGAAATCTTCTTTCCGCACGGTGGCTCAGTCAGCTCAGCCTGAAAGAGCGGGCTGTGACTCCAGCCGCCACTTTGGAGGGAAACTAGTCTGAATCTCTTGGCGTGACAGGAAAAGCGTTTCACATCTTATTAGCCAGGGGATGAGATATAAAATCAGTTTCATGGTGCAGGAACACCCTGGAGGTTGATCAGTTTGTCAGAATAAATAGGCCTCTCTTGACACAAAGACATTGAATTCGCTGGTACTGTGGAAAAACGGCTATAAAGAGAAAACCAAGAGGACACACACACAAATGAAAGCCACCATGCCGTGTCCAGCGTGGAGAGGAGAGAATACTCTGTGAATATACTGGCAGCGACATTAATTCATGTGTTAATTTCCTTCTGTTCCAAGCCTATCACTTGGCTGTAGCTGGGTCATACAGTGGGCTCTTTACAGTTAACGGCTTGAGTCTGTTCTGTGTACATTAAGGAACTATCTAGAACAGTGTTCCCAACATGAGGGTCATGACCCCTCTGAGGTCCACAGCAGTACCAAAGACCATTGGGGAATAGATATTTACACTATAATTCATAACAGTAAGAAAATTACAGTCATGAAGTGGCAACAAGAGTAACTTTATGGGTGGGGATTAGCACAACACGAGGAACCGTATCAAAGGGTCACAGCATTGGGAAGGTTGAGGACCACAGCTCTAGAAGATCTGATTTGATCTTGAAAGCATCTGGGGGATTTTTAATCGCATTATTGTAGACACTCAACAAAGGGTTTGGGCAAGCGCAAAGGGATTCAGTTCCAATGCTACACACGGAGATACTGCAGGGTGCCACAAAAAACTCATATGAACAGGGATCATTTAGAAAGTTGAGGAAGACACAGTGATCACTAACATCGAGAGGGGTCTGTGGTATAATACCTCAGTCATTCCTGTGAGGTCACAGACCCCCTCGCTGCCTCTGCCTCCACCACTCAAAGCCAGGTCTCTTCCTGCAGGGGTATAAAATCCTGTATACAAACGGTTCTCATCTCTGCCAGTGTCTCAGCAAACCACGTGGACACTGACATACACAGAGAACTCCAAACCACGAGGATACTCAGAACACACAGAACTCCAAACCACGAGGATACTCAGACACACACTGAACTCAGCGATGGTAGGTTTTTCTTTCTTTTTTTTTTTAGTTAGTAGTGAGAATATTTTATTCTTAAATATCTAAAAGGGACTTCATTTTTTTATTATTAAAATTTTCTGCCTCCTCCCCGCCTCCCTTTTCCCTTCCCCTCCCCCACTCCCCACCCCTACTCCCCTCTCCCTCCCTCTCCAGTCCGAAGAGCAGTCAGGGTTCCCTGCCCTGTGGGAAGTCCAAGGTCCTCCCCCCTCCATCCAGGTCTAGGAAAGTGAGCATCCAAACAGGCTAGGCTCCCACAAAGCCAGTACATGCAGTAGGATCAAAACCCAAATGATAGCCTTTGCTGGAGAGGATGTGGAGTAAGGGGTACACTCATCCATTGCTGGTGGGAATGCAAACTTGTGCAACCACTCTGAAAAGCAGTGTGGCGGTTTCTCAGGAAATTGGGGATCAACCTACCCCAGGACCCAGCAATGCCACTCTTGGGAATATACCCAAGAGATGCCCTATCATACTACAAAAGTATTTGTTCAACTATGTTCATAGCAGCATTATTTGTAATAGCCAGAATCTGGAAACAACCTAGATGCCCTTCAATGGAAGAATGGATGAAGAAAGTGTGGAATATATACATATTAGAGTACTACTCAGCGGTAAAAAAAAATGACATCTTGAATTTTGCATGCAAATGGATGGAAAAGGGACTTCATTTTTGAATTCCTCTTCTCCTCTTTCTCAGGCAATAACAATAACCACAATTTATCCGAATGCTTTTTACATTCTCATTGAAACCAACTCATTATAACTGTTTCCTGCTTAACGAGATGCCATCCTTTATAGATTTATTTCCAGAGTTCTGGGACGCTGCTCCATCACACCCAGCAACAGAACTCCTTGGGATGATATTTTGGACCAGGGTAAAAACTCTGCTGTTGCTCAAGCTTGCTGTGGAATAATCCTTTTGTACACTGTGAAGATTTGTCACTGGACTGGTTTAATAAAAAGCTGAGTGGCCAATAGCTAGGCAGGATTTTCAGGGCAGAGACTATGCTAGGATGAAGGGTGGAGTCATGAGGAGTTGTCGTGGATGCACAGTGAGCGGGGTGGGCAGTACTTAGGTGAGGTAAAGGAGACTAGAGGCAGCACTTGGATGAGCAGAAACGGGCTAATTTAAGTTATAGGAGCTGGCTAAAAAGAAGCCTAAGCTGTCGGCCAAGCTTTATTAATCAATAAGAGTCTCTGTGTAGTTATTTGGGAGCTGGCAGGCAGGACAGAAAAATCCACCTGCAGAAACTGTTTCAGAAGGGAAAGCGTTTGGGTGCTGGTCTGTGTGACTCCCACATGAGTTCATGGGGTTCCCTCTGACCAACGGTGTGGAAGGTTGCCATTTCACACAGACATTTCCCATGTGTTAATCATGGCTTCATAGCTGCCGGCTCCCGGAACATGTACACTGTTCTCCAGGCCTCTGAAGCAGAGGTCAGTCATGCAAAAGGAGGCAACTACCATCCATGTATACAGTCCGCCCTTCCCACGTTAACTTCTCTTGAGAAGAATCTCACAAACATTAACAACTTCTATATAATTTGAATTGCTTTTTAAAAATGAAAATATACAGTTTTCCC